TGCGTCTGTGTGTGCGTCTGTGTGTGCGTCTGTGTGTTCGTCTGTGTGTTCGTCTGTGTGTGCGTCTGTGTGTTCGTCTGTGTGTTCGTCTGTGTGTTCGTCTGTGTGTTCGTCTGTGTGTTCGTCTGTGTGTTCGTTTGTGTGTGCGTCTGTGTGTGCGTCTGTGTGTTCGTCTGTGTGTGCGTCTGTGTGTTCGTCTGTGTGTTCGTCTGTGTGTGCGTCTGTGTGTGCGTCTGTGTGTGCGTCTGTGTGTGCGTCTGTGTGTTCGTCTGTGTGTGCGTCTGTGTGTGCGTCTGTGTGTGCGTCTGTGTGTTCGTCTGTGTGTTCGTCTGTGTGTGCGTCTGTGTGTGCGTCTGTGTGTTCGTCTGTGTGTGCATCTGTGTGTTCGTCTGTGTGTTCGTCTGTGTGTTCGTCTGTGTGTTCGTCTGTGTGTTCGTTTGTGTGTGCGTCTGTGTGTTCGTCTGTGTGTTCGTCTGTGTGTGCGTCTGTGTGTTCGTCTGTGTGTTCGTCTGTGTGTTCGTCTGTGTGTTCGTCTGTGTGTTCGTCTGTGTGTTCGTTTGTGTGTGCGTCTGTGTGTGCGTCTGTGTGTTCGTCTGTGTGTGCGTCTGTGTGTTCGTCTGTGTGTTCGTCTGTGTGTGCGTCTGTGTGTGCGTCTGTGTGTGCGTCTGTGTGTGCGTCTGTGTGTTCGTCTGTGTGTGCGTCTGTGTGTGCGTCTGTGTGTGCGTCTGTGTGTTCGTCTGTGTGTTCGTCTGTGTGTGCGTCTGTGTGTGCGTCTGTGTGTGCGTCTGTGTGTTCGTCTGTGTGTGCGTCTGTGTGTGCGTCTGTGTGTTCGTCTGTGTGTGCGTCTGTGTGTTCGTCTGTGTGTGCGTCTGTGTGTGCGTCTGTGTGTGCGTCTGTGTGTGCGTCTGTGTGTGCGTCTGTGTGTGCGTCTGTGTGTGCGTCTGTGTGTGCGTCTGTGTGAGCGTCTGTGTGTGCGTCTGTGTGTGCGTCTGTGTGTTCGTCTGTGCGTCGTGTGACTTTCGAGTCGACTCAAAAAGGCGAGGCGGGGGAGAGGCTGATTCTTGACGTGTGTGACGACCGGTTCTTCTCTGGCTAGGTGAGCTGGTGAGTGTGTGCGTCGTGAGTGTGCGTCGTGAGTGTGTGTGTCGTGAGTGTGCGTCGTGAGTGTGTGTCGTGAGTGTGCGTGTTGGGTGTGTGTGTGTCTGAGCATGCGTTTGAGGCGTGAGAGAGGCTCATCCTTGACGTGTGTGACGACCACTTGTTCGTCAGAGAGGTGAGCGCATCTGTTTGCACACAACAAGTGGGCAGAACCACTTCTTCTTGTGAAACGGCTGGTGTGTGTGGGGGGGAGGAAGGGGTTGGGTGGGGGTGTGGGCGGGTAAAGGGGGTTGGTGCTTTCGTGCGTCTGCATCTGTGCATGTGCATGTGCATGTGTGTGTGTACGGGTGTGTGTGCGTGCGCATGCATGTGTGCATGTGTGCATGTGTGCGTGCATGTGCGTGTTCATGCGTGCCCGTGTGCGTTTGCGCATGTATGCATGCATATGAGTGTGCTGGTGTGTGTGCGGGTGCATGCACACTGCATCTATGCCTTGCCTTGTCTTTCCTGAGTTAGTATCACTCATCACCATCCAAAGTATTGTCTGTCGACCCCCTCTCATCCCATATCATTCTCACCTTTTATCGCAACCCACTCCTTGTCACCCCTTAGAACCATGCTGCAGTTCACATCAGCCTTTCCCCGTTTCTCCCATATCTCCCCTCTTCTTGGCTCTGTCTTGCCACGTCAGCTTGAGGACGTGGACCTCCCAAATCTGCGCCACGTGGAAGGTGGTGGCAAGCCTGCTGACGTGGCAGCGCCAAGCCACTGCGATGGTTCCATACCAGGCCGGGAAAAACCAGCAGTTTCTGCTAGTTCTGACGTGGCTGCTGACGTGGCGGCTGATGTGGCGGGTCATCATGAAAGCCGGATGATTGCAGAGCGGTTTCAGCAGATAGAATCGGCATATAGAAAGGTAAAATCAGGTCCTTCTGAGACGTCTCAGATTGAGGCAGTCCCAATTTGAGTCCTCGCAGAAATGGCAATATCTGGGGATTCTGTGTTTTTTTCAGACGTCTCGTAAATTCGCCCCTTTGATTATATTTACAGCCCTCTGAGAAATTTGTCGATTGAGACTTCTTCAATCTTTCCATGCAGGAGTTTCTCTGAGATAATAGCCTCACCGCTGGCTATTCTTCTATTGCGTCCTCCTCTTCCTTTATGAAATCCGTGGTACGAGAGGTCTCAGGAATGCCTACCTGCCCCTTCTTCCTCCTGACCCGCAGGGAATTTCGTCCCTCCTCACACCCGCCCAAGAGGAACACCGGCAGCAGCTGTACGCACAAACAGACAAACTCACCCATGGGTGGTTGAGAGCAGGTAGGCGGGTCCAGGTGGAGGGCAGGTGCGTTCTAGGTCGTGGGGGGATGAGAGCAGGTGGAGGGATGAGAACAGGTGCAAGTTAGACTCCCTCTTATTGAACCCCAAAAGCTAATGCACTAGCCATGGTCGCTACTTTGATTCTTACTCAGCTGTCTTGTCTTCAACCATTCCCTTACTCCACAATCTCGCCTCATCCGATCCCATCCTATCCCATCCCACCGCATCCCATCCCACCGCATCCCATCTTGCGACACCACTCTAGGTCGGGCCATGCTTGCTGCAGCATCGACATTATGTGCTCCTTCAGACCCTACTGCAGCAGTGGCAGCGGCGGCACCAATTGCATCAGCAGCAGCAGAAGCCGAAAAAACGAGAGCAGCGAAGGCTGGATCAGCAGAGCGTGGTACAGGGGCTGTAGCAGCAGCAGTGGCGAGTGCAGCAGGGGCTACAGCAGCAGAGGGTGGTGCAGGGGCTATCAATGTGGTTGTTTCTTCCGGGCAGCTCATTCCAACGCTTGCCAAATGCTTGCTGTTCGGTCTCGATCCCTTCATCTGCCCGACCAACAGTAAGTCGATCCTTTCATCTGCCCGACCAACAGTAAGTCGATCCTTTCATCTGCCCGAGCAACAGTAAGTCCTCCTTTTGTCTGCCCCACCAGGAGATGTTTGCTGTTGGAGCATGCACTTCTGTGTTTCTCATCATGCCTACCGCAATCGTGCTGAAGGGCACCTGATCATGTGCTCGGTGTGGGGGGACTCAGTAATGTGCTGAGGTTGGTTGGAGGGTAAAATCACATGATCTTGCACTAATTGATGTCTCGGGATGTCATAATACCACTGCATCGTTTGCAGGGTATTACTGACTCCATCGTTTGCACTGTTGCCAAGCCTTTGTGAGTGCTCACGCCACAACTGTGGGGTGCACTGTAAGTGATACTGACCCCCCGTTCCCTTCCCCTCCCCCTCCCCTCCCCTCCCCTCCCCTCCCGTCCCGTCCCTCCCCCTCCTCCTTCCCACCCCACTCCCGACACATTTTCTCCTCCCGATTTTCCCGTCTATTTTGCCCTGCCCTTTGCAGTCTACAGCTCTCGCAAGGAGGGCAAGCTCGTGTGCTTCAAACGCATTCGAGACCGATACAGCAACAGTGACTGTAACAGCGGAGCGGTTACCAGCACTGTCAGCAGCAACGAAGGAGGGGTTGCTGTTGATGCTCTATCCCGTCAGAAGACTCGAAGGGTGCAGAGCGGTGGGCACCGGTTTGTGGCGGTGGGGGATGGGTGTGAAGAGGCAGCAGCGGCACGAATCATGGGATGGCCGTATGTGAGAGTGGATGCAGCATGGGATGACATGCGCCTGACAAGCATGTCTCTGGCACAGATACTGCAGGCACGTGTAGGATGACAAGATATCAAGTCTTTGACATATATATTCTGCAGGCACGAGTGGGGCTGTCGTGTCATTCTGCAGGCACGAGTGGGGCTGTCGTGTCATTCTGCAGGCACGAGTGGGGCTGTCGTGTCATTCTGCAGGCACGAGTGGGGCTGTCGTGTCATTCTGCAGGCACGAGTGGGGCTGTCGTGTCATTCTGAAGGCACGAGTGGGGCTGTCGTGTCATTCTGAAGGCACGAGTGGGGCTGTCGTGTCATTCTGCAGGCACGAGTGGGGCTGTCGTGTCATTCTGAAGGCACGAGTGGGGCTGTCGTGTCATTCTGCAGGCACGAGTGGGGCTGTCGTGTCATTCTGAAGGCACGAGTGGGGCTGTCGTGTCATTCTGCAGGCACGAGTGGGGCTGTCGTGTCATTCTGCAGGCACGAGTGGGGCTGTCGTGTCATTCTGCAGGCACGAGTGGGGCTGTCGTGTGATTCTGCAGGCACGAGTGGGGCTGTCGTGTCATTCTGCAGGCACGAGTGGGGCTGTCGTGTCATTCTGCAGGCACGAGTGGGGCTGTCGTGTCATTCTGCAGGCACGAGTGGGGCTGTCGTGTCATTCTGAAGGCACGAGTGGGGCTGTCGTGTCATTCTGCAGGCACGTGAGGAATGACAAGATAGCAAGCGTGTTATGAGTCGACTCAGAACACACCTGTGAGAGTGGACGCAGCATGGGATGACATGCGCCTGACCAGCATGTCTCTAGGCCAGATACTGCAGGCACGCATGGGGTGACATGACACGACACTATAGCGGGCATGCAGGCAGTAGGCAAAGATTTTTCAGCAGCTGCAGCAGCAGCAGCAGCAGCAGCAGCAGCAACAGCAGCAGCAAGAATCATGGGGTGGCCGAATGTGAGAGTGGATGCGGCATGGGATGACATGCTCCTGACAAGCATGCCTTTGGTGCAGATTCTGCAGGCACATGTGGGATGGGATGACACATTAGCAGGCACACAGGCACCAGGTGTAGAACTTTCAGCAGCAGCAGCTGTTGCCTTCAGTAGCATCTGTGGATGTAGCCAGGCCAGAGCACTCAGGGGGGTGAGTGGAGTCAGTGGGATATGCACATACGCAGCCATTTCACACCCCTGTAAATTTATCACGGTAGGATTGCCTGTACAGTACATTCCAGATTCCGTTTGCATGGAGAATCTGGTGCTATTCTCTCCTGTCGTGAAATGACTACCGTACCTTGACCCTGCGAAACACTAAATCATGCCAGCCAGGAATCACTGACATGACATCCTAGCTTCTGCCACTCAATCTGCCGAACACATGGCACTTACAACATTTGTTTTCATAACCAATGAATTCATAACAAAACGTACACCACTGTACGCTCCTCTAACTCAAGCATCTCCAGCAATTATGACAACCTTCATGCCTTTGAGGCAGTCGTTGCCAGAGCTGCTGGTGAAATACCCTGTGAAGGTTAAATCTCCCACTGTAACCCAGACCATGCCGCGGTGTGATGGCCCATGAAGCACAGTGAAGGGATCGCCAGAAGCCCCAAAGTGACAGGTTAAGAAGCGGTTGACATCCACTGCCACCAGGTTGTGCCTGCGCACCCTGTCTTTCCACTTGAACACTGGATTGGGGGAAAGCAAAGACACGTGCAAGGGAGAGCGTGTTGTGAGTCACGGACAGGCCCACCAGATTGTGCTTGTGCAGCCAGTTGTTCCACCTGAACGCTGGGTTGGGGAACGGCACGTGCAAGTGCGAGGGAGGGCGAGCGAGAGAGGAGTGTGAAAAGAGTGTGTGGGGAGAGCAAAAATGGTGTGCTTGGGGATCAAGAGAGGTGTGTGCTTGGGGATCAAGAGAGGTGTGTGCTTGGGGATCAAGAGAGGTGTGTGCTTGGGGATCAAGAGAGGTGTGTGCTTGGGGATCAAGAGAGGTGTGTGCTTGGGGATCAAGAGAGGTGTGTGCTTGGGGATCAAGAGAGGTGTGTGCTTGGGGATCAAGAAAGGGTGTGCGCATGTGGGAAGAGCGACGAAGGTGTGTAGGGGAAAGGGAGAGTGGGGGAGGTTGGGAGAAGGCTAGAGAGGTGTGAGGGCGGGGAGAGAGAGAAGTGTGAGGAGTTGAGGGCAAGAAGTGAATGTGCTGACAGTGAGAGGTTTTGCGCGTTGAGAGAGAGAGAGAGAGAAAGAGAAGGGGAGGCGGCAGCGGGAACAACTTTGTTAAAGAAAAAGCAGTTGAGCAGCTTGTTAAGAAGTTCAGTTGAACACTAACCAAGAACGTCCCCAGCGTAGACACGAGAGGCCTTTTGAGGCGCCTCAAAGGCAGTTGAACAGCTTGTTAAAAATTCAGTTGAACACTAACCAAGAATGTCTCCAGAGACGACACGAGGGGCTGGCCATGTGCGCACTCTGCGGCTCCAGCGGGTGTACCTCCACCCCACCACCACCGTCCTGGCGTCCTGGGAGGGGGGGGGAGAGGGGTGGAGGGGGTTTGAGGGGGGTGGGGAAGAGCACACACATGCGGGGGAAGGGTTGCCACGTGCGCACTCTGGGGCTCCAGCGGGAGTACCTCCACCCCACCAGCACCGTCTTGGCGTCCTGAAGGCACACAGAGGGGATAGGAAGAGGGAGAAGAAGAGCGAGGGGGAGGAAGAGCACGCATTGAAAAGAATGACCTCAGCGGGAGTACCTCCACCCCACCAGCACCGTCTTGGCGTCCTGATAGCGAGGACCGGGAAGGGGAGAAGAGGGCACACATGGGGGGAAAGGGCACACATGGGGGGAGAGGGCACACATGGGGGGAGAGGGCACACATGGGGGGAGAGGGCACACATGGGGGGAGAGGGCACACATGGGGGGAAAGGGCACACATCATAGGGGGTGGAAGAGTCAACAAAAGGGATTCCAGCGGAAAATTCTCCAACCCACCACCACCGTGTTGGCCCCCTGGCGGCTCACAGGGGAAAGGGGGGAGACGAGGAGGGGAGAAACGCACACACGCCAGCGGGGAACGGTGAACTCAAAAGCACCCCAGCAGTAGTACGTCCAGCGCTAGTGCGTCCAGCGGTAGTGTGTCCAGCCCACCAGCACCGTCTTGGCATCTTGAAGCCATGCGAGGAGGGTGGAGAGGGGGCGGCGAGGGGAGGGCGAAGCACGCGCGCACACGGGGGTGGAACAGTCAAGTCGAAAGGAACTTAGAGGGATAACCTCCAGCCCACCAGCACCGTCTTGGCGTCCTGGCGGCACAGAGAGGGGGAAGGGGGAGAGAGCGCACACAGGGGGGGAAGTGGCGATTTCAGGACTCCAGCGGGAGTACGTCCACCCCACCAGCACCGTCTCGGCATCTGCCAGTCTACCAGAGGGGAAGAGAAGAGCGCACACACGGGAGGAGAGAGAGCGCACATACGGGAGGAGAGAGAGCGCACACACGGGAGGAGAGAGAGCGCACACACGGGAGGAGGGAGAGCGCACACACGGGAGGAGAGAGAGCGCACACACGGGAGGAGAGAGAGCGCACACATGGGAGGAGAGAGAGCGCACACACGGGAGGAGAGAGAGCGCACACATGGGAGGAGAGAGAGCGCACACACGGGAGGAGAGAGAGCGCACACACGGGAGGAGAGAGAGCGCACACACGGGAGGAGAGAGAGCGCACACACGGGAGGAGGGAGAGCGAACACACGGGGGGAGGGAGAGCGCACACACGGGGGGAGGGAGAGCGCACACACGGGAGGAGGGAGAGCGCACACACGGGAGGAGGGAGAGCGCACACACGGGGGGAGGGAGAGCGCACACGCGGGGGGAGGGAGAGCGCACACGCGGGGGGAGGGAGACCGCACACACGGGGGGAGGGAGACCGCACACACGGGGGGGGGGGGAGGGAGAGCGCACAGACGGGGGGAGGGAGAGCGCACACGTGGGGTCTTAGGATCGTAAACACCTTAGTCGGCAATAGTCTACTTGCTATTGCTTATCGTGTTCTCCACGATCTCACGAATCCAATGATATGCGCAGCTCTGCTTGAAGTTGTCAATACACACTTCAGCAATTTTCAGAATCTCCAAGTTGTGTTTTCCAGAATGAGTACAAGCAGTTTTATAGTCAAGCAAGTCACAAAATGCGATTCGTAACTTCACTTGTTTCCCAAGTAACCCCGTGCGCCTCGTTTCACCCCGAGTCGCACACGGAACCGAACTGAATGCACCGAACACTCCTCAAGTCCGAATCTGGAACCTTCTCGAACACGCCTCGAGCTCGTACCACAGTTTCCCCCGTCGATCTCATTCTCGATACTTCTCTACTCTTCTCCTCCATTTCTCTAGTATCTTCCCGATCTCTCTCCCGCTTCTCACGCCGTAGCTTCCAATATCCACCGTAGGCTGAATTCCACCGTTTCATTCACGAATCATCTACGCGCTTCCATTTCGCCGTCATTCCGCCGTCGTAGAAGCTTTCGCCGTAGGTTCCGTGGTTGGGCGAACCAACCCTAACAATCTCCCCTGTGGTTCGTCAACCACGAACACCACTCGCACTGCTTTCCTGCTCCTTCTAGCATTCACAGGGTCTAAGTCGGCTTCACGCTCCCCTGCAGCTCCTGCACCTTGAACCTGTGCTTACGTGTCTTGAAGTTGAGCGCCTTAATATCCAAACCATGAGGCATCTTCTTAAGCCTCTCGCTTCTCCTCAGAATCTTAGCACCCAACACCTCTCGGGTCTTGTACCCCTCAACGTGTTCCTCTTTCATAAGCACTCGCCCCTTTGCAGTTGCATTCGCCGTTGATCCCTTCACCATGATGCCCCCTTTCACAGCTTCAACTCCCACACACTTCGCATTTACTGCTTCATCTTTAACCACGACCGCTGCTGCAAAAGTGTTGACACCATCTCCATCTCCATCATTCACCGCTGCTGCCTCCATGGTGACTATCTCTTCTTCCTGCTTCACTGCTGCCTCCACACTCGCTCCCGTATCATCCGTGTCCTCGCTCTCATCAACCTCAGTAGACTCAGGATCCTCATAGATCTCATCCTTGTCGTTCATCGCTATCAAGTTCATCTCATAGAACCCGTCACTGAAGTATCCATCGGCATACTTCTCCCACTCAGGACCAAACACTGTAACCTCGCCTTTGTCATAAAATATCTTGCACCCCAAGTCATCAAGCTGTGACTGACTCATCAAATTCACCTTCAAATCCTCAACCAAGAGCACATTCTCCAGTTTCACCTCTCCATACGGACTTTGCAGCACCACGTCACCCTCTCCTGTCACTGGTAACTTCCCACTGTTACCTTGCAGTATATAACGCTCACTCGACTCCCTCACGTTCTCCATCCAATCTGACCTGAATGTCATGTGACGCGTGCATCCGCTGTCCATGAACCATGCCGTCTTCTCACGTCCGTCCGTCTGACAAACATCCTTCGGTAAACGCACCACGTTCGCACGATGCGCTCCTCCCAAAATCACATCCTCCTTTTCGGCTTCCGCTACATTCGCCTTACCCGCCACAATCCTCTGCTGCGACGGACCCTTGTAGCTCCTGCTGTTCGGATTGGAGTAGCACTCTGCGGCACGATGCCCATAGCGCCCACAATAATCGCACTTGCCGCCAAAACCTCGTTTCTGTTGCCACTCTGCTCCCACATTTTCTCCTTTATCGTTCTCCACAGCTTTGCCCTTGTAGTTTCTGCTTCGAGGATTTTCGTAGCAGTTTATCGCTTTATGACCGCGCTTTCCACATTGGTAGCACGCTCCAAAGGCCTTCGTTGCATTCACCAAAGCCGGCCTCTCCTCGTCAAATTCCGTAGCTGCTGCTACCGCTTTCTTTTTCCTCATCTCCTTCACCGTCTCAAGCGATTGCAGAATCTCCTGCAGCTTCGTCAAACTCTCCGGCGGTTGGTACGTAAACATACCGATGTCAGATTCCCACTCCTTAGGAAGGCCTTGGATGATATAGTCAATCATCTCGTGCTCCGTCTCCGCGGCTCCCATCACCCGCAAATCGTCGTTGTAGCTTTTCGCCCTGTTGATGTAGGTGATGATTTCTCGCCTTTCTCCATGCTCAGCATCAGCAGTTGCTTCCTGATCGCCTTCTTGTTTACATCGTTCGTACCCATGTACGTGGACTCCAGGTACTCCCACGCTCGCTGTGCAGAGTTCAGCTCCCCTGCAAACTGGTCCAAATCCACTGCGATTCCATCGGCAACTGAGTGACAAAGCTGAAAGAACGCTTGCTTACTTTGTTTTTTGAACGCCGCTATTTTCTCCTTCGTATCCGTCGGGGATGGCGCAACTCCCTCCATCGTCTCCTCGTCGGGACGGTAGTACGGCAAGAGGTCAACCTCCTCTGCCCTCCGAATAAACTTCTTCCGCCACACGTTGTAGTTGCTTCCGTTGAAGCGCTGGGCTTCACTGAGCCCGATCGTCGGTTTCGCCACCAATCGGCCACTCGCAATGGCCTCGAGAAGAGCCTTCAACTGCGGGTCTCCAAGACTCACACTGGAACCCGAACTCGCCTCGTCTCCCATGGCGTAGGCGTGAACGACTCCTCTTCTCCACTAATTTCACTTAGCGCACCAAGTGAATTCACCGCGATCGACGCGCCCGTTCGCCAAGCTCTGATACTAGTTCTTAGGATCGTAAACACCTTAGTCGGCAATAGTCTACTTGCTATTGCTTATCGTGTTCTCCACGATCTCACGAATCCAATGATATGCGTAGCTCTGCTTGAAGTTGTCAATACACACTTCAGCAATTTTCAGAATCTCCAAGTTGTGTTTTCCAGAATGAGTACAAGCAGTTTTATAGTCAAGCAAGTCACAAAATGCGATTCGTAACTTCACTTGTTTCCCAAGTAACCCCGTGCGCCTCGTTTCACCCCGAGTCGCACACGGAACCGAACTGAATGCACCGAACACTCCTCAAGTCCGAATCTGGAACCTTCTCGAACACGCCTCGAGCTCGTACCACAGTTTCCCCCGTCGATCTCATTCTCGATACTTCTCTACTCTTCTCCTCCATTTCTCTAGTATCTTCCCGATCTCTCTCCCGCTTCTCACGCCGTAGCTTCCAATATCCACCGTAGGCCGAATTCCACCGTTTCATTCACGAATCATCTATGCGCTTCCATTTCGCCGTCATTCCGCCGTCGTAGAAGCTTTCGCCGTAGGTTCCGTGGTTGGGCGAACCAACCCTAACATGGGGGGAGGGAGAGCGCACACGCGGGGGGAGGGAGACCGCACACACGGGGGGAGGGAGACCGCACACACCGGGGGGGGGGGAGGGAGAGCGCACAGACGTGGGGAGGGAGAGCGCACACGTGGGGGGAGGGAGAGCGCACACGCGGGGGGAGGGAGACCGCACACACGGGGGGAGGGAGACCGCACACACGGGGGGGGGGGGGGGAGGGAGAGCGCACAGACGGGGGAAGAGCACCGTGACGCGGTCACCGCGTACCTCTGGGCGACGTATAATGAGCGTACCTTTTTCGTCCAGCCAATGAGAGGCTCGCGAGCCAGGCAACAGCACGTACCTTAGTGAGGCTCGGAAACGGAAAACCAACCCCAGGAGCTTCGGTTGGCGTCTTGTCGACCTTCCAGATTGAATGTTCGCGGAGTAACGTTTGTAGTGCCCTTTATACGATAATTACTATCTTGTAACTGATAACTTGCGTCAGAACGTCAATGCTTGATTAGGTCCTTTCCTTGCCATTAGACTTTGTCAAAGCAGTGGTTTTTTATGTCGATTTTTGTATGGTTTCACAATATTATAAAGTAGATACTCATCATTTTTTTAGATGCGTGCGGCGCACATCGCGAGCACCAGCGACCACATGCGATGATGACGCGTGTGGTGGTGCATGCGACGGTGCATGCGACGGTGCATGCGACGGCGCATGCGATGGCGTATGCGATGGTGCATGCGATGGTGTTACAGGTAGTTCAAGAACTTTCAGTAAAGAATGCGAAGGATTCGAAAAAGGTGAAATTGCGTGGCGAGAAGCGGAGAGTGGAAAGTGATACTGCAGCTCAGCGAAAAAATCAGGAACCCGGTTTCGATAGGGTTGAAACGGAGCTTACCGCAAGAGCGGCAGTGCGGATGGTCGTCCACGGAGTGTCCAACGAGCCTGCAGCAACAAGCAGAGCTCCAGTCAGCACAGTACCGCCGGACAACACCGCACAGCACATCACATGGCGGCGCGGAAAGGCACGGTCATTGGAAATGCGAATGCGCCGCATTTGGCGGTGGCTGTAAGAGAGGGCTCGCCGCTAACCCGCGAGGAGAAGCAGCAGCAGCAGCAGCAGCAGCAGGCAGATGAACCCGGGTCTCCCCTTGACAAATGCCATTCCGCAGCCCCCAAGTAGACTCTCAGTATATGGCGAAAGAAACAATGTATGCGACGAGTAGATGTTAAGGACTATGTCTGCGACGAGTTAAACTACCGGCGAGATATTATGTCTGCGTCGACTACTAGATGAGGACTAGAGAGAGAGTCAGGGATCTTGGGAGTGATGAGGTGTGACCAACTTGTTCGTAGTGTGCTTTGGCACCAGATACACCCTCATTCTCGGCCTCCGCACAATTGGGAGCCCTGGCTACAAGGCGTACTGTTGCTTGGACTGTTGGAAGTGTGGGGGACGGGATTGCCCCCCACGCGAAGACCTCCCTTGACTCGGACCAAGGGAGGGTTTTTTCTTGGAAGGTTGGGGTGACGGCGGATTGTCCGCGTCGCCACGCAACCGAACTTCCCCCGGCTGGGTCCGAATATTTGTGGGGCCGACACTTGGCAGGCCCACATGCATGCACGAAAATAGCGAGAGTGCAAGCGAATGTTACGAACATTTCGCTAAACTCGCTATTGTTCCTTGTAACACACGATTGTCGGCGTGAAGAAATGAACCCGGCAAAGTCCGAAATTGTGAACGCGGACGTCGCGGAAATTGGACGCAATCCTGAGTCCGAATTTCTGGCGAGTCGCGCGCGGTTCGATGTTACATTTCTGCATGTGTGTTTTAGCTATAAAATCCAGAGAGCAATAATATACAATTGCTCTCTTGTTACTTGGGCGATTTAAGTGATCTAAGTTGCTACGGAATCCTTGCTCCGAGCCCGTCGGATTGATCTTAGGCTCTGCCTCTAACTCGCCAAGTTAATTCTGTGGCATCACTTAGAGCAGGACGGTTTCTTTCATGGACCCTAGCGATCTGGTGCTTGGAGCCGAACCCTAGGTAGGTGGCGGGCAAATGCACTCCACGGGGAACGGTACAAAACGGTATATAGAAATAAACTTGCTATTGCATACGGTTGAGTGCGGCAAATGTGCTTTTATGGTATGTTCTGGGACCATTTTGGACGCACTGATGTCATTACAGCCGGCATGTCAATGTGGCGGATGTCAGTGTGGCGAGAATGAGGGTGTAAGAAGTTATTGTTTGCTGCTCGCATGGGAATGCTCATGACAGGTGCGCGAACTCGAGTGGGTTGGGTACACACTTTTGAGACCTGGAAAAGAGGCTTCGGAGGCTCGGCGGAAGAAGTAGCGCTCTCAGGACTAGCGGCGGCGCCGCTAGTGGCCACGTTGGACCGAGCCAGAATGACGTTGTATCACCGCCTGCAGGGCAGAAAACTTGTGATTTCGGACTATTTCATATTTCGCGTTTTTTATAAAAGCTTGCGGGCTGGCCTTAGAGTTGAATCACGTGGTTGTCGGTCAAACTACTACAGGTGACTGCCCGGCCTAATTTCTGCCCGGCCTAATTTCTGCCCTCCCTAGAAAATAAAAGTTCAATAGTCAACCATCGAAGTGGATCACGTGATATGGTAGAGTACATCATCGCGACGCGGGACTTTTGTCAAACCACGGCGCTGCTCGATTGCACTTCGTTCAGAAGTACAGCCCCACCACAGTCTATCCGAGTCGGCCCTAGGGTTTCCGAACCTAGGGTCACTACACGCCAGAGTCAAATTGCTTTGTACACAATCTTTATTGACCATGGTTCAGATTTGATAGCTGTGGAAACAAACAAATCCCTCACAGTCAAAACCGCGTACAT